GATTGTGGTTTGGTCTATGTGGCCCAGACCCATAGAAAACAGGTCTGGCCCGGATCCGGCATCAAGCTGGCACTTCTGACTGACTGGTGTCACGGCAGGGTGTATGTCAACCAGATGTGGGCCAGGTCTGGCAATGATGGCAATATTTATGTTCCTATTTTCCTATTTTAGTTAAAAGACCCAAATGCCAAGTTGCAATACTATACTGCTGTGGTAGCCAACATTTCAAATGCAGATTTGACAGGTTTGTGAGTGTACACTTTATACAAAACCTAGTTTTCTCTGAAAAGAGATTCATCATGTTGCTTTTGCACTATTATGTTCTGTCATATGTTGTTATTACATGGCTTGATTAACTTTGTGGTGTTTATGGACATCTTATCACCACTCACACATCACAAACACTATATTCTAATATCTGTTTACTTCCCACCGTCATCTTTGAAGAAAGAAACTGTAAATGGCTAAAGAGTCAGCATTCACCTGTAATGAGTCATTCACATGTGAACAATGACTCAGTGGTGATGTTTCCATTGGCTGCCTCTAACTTTATTCCAGCTTTGCTACATTTTTAAAACAGCATCCATTTGTTTTCTATTGAACAACGACATCTACAGATTTTTTAGAAATTTACTTCAAACATGTAATTTTCTCTTTTGGACTTTTGGAGTCACTGTTTTCTGATGTTTAGGTACACTGAAATTTTAAACTTGCTGTGTGGATTTCTTATACTTCTTTTTTACTGACTTCCTGATTGTATTTTTAAATCTCATCTTGTTCTAATATGATACATAATCAACTGGTGAAAACAGATTTCATGAACAGAAACACATACACACTAAATGTGCAAGGATGAATGAAACCTGTAACAAACGCATGCATACCAACAGTTTTCATTTCGGTGAATCCTCAGGCTCAGTGTGTGTTTTCCCATGTTACCACCAGAGGGCAACACAAATCAACATCTCTGCCATAAGGAAAGTCCCAACTGAGGAAACAGGCTGTCAGTGTGTTTCCACACCTCTGGTTTTTCAGAGGGTTTATTTTTTTAAGGAAAACATTAAATTTGGCAGTGAGATTAGTCTTTTATTGTTTTGTTTTTTTCATTCTAGGGGAGTTATACCTATCAGAGGAAAGGTAGCTTCAGTCTTGTCATTGTAAGAATAATGATCCAGTAAAATAATAAGCAGATATTCATATACAGTGGCTTGCAAAAGTATTCGGCCCCCTTGAACTTTCCCACATTTTGTCACATTACAGCCACAAACATGAATCAATTTTATTGGAATTCCACGTGAAAGACCAACACAAAGTGGTGAACATGTGAGAAGTGGAACGAAAATCATACATGATTCCAAACAATTTTTTACAAATAAATAACTGAAAAGTTCAGATCAACACTCATCTGAAAGTTAGGTTTCAAAAGCAGTAATGATTTGGCAAACATTGCTAGATTCGATTCACTCAAGAATGCATTTGTGTACAAAAATTCTCACCGCTATCTGAAAAGGTTGGAAGTCACACACATGCATTATCATGTGTGTTATAGTGTATCATCATAATACAACTCAATTGGCACTTGGTGGTCAAAACAGAAGCTCTTGTGATCTTGTTTGTATAATTATGACTGGATTCCTTGTAAAGTTACATTCAGTGCCATGCTGCATTAATAAAAGTGTGATTTCACCGTGTTGAACTGCTCTTGTCTCTTAACAAAGGGTGCAAATATTTTCTAACTTCATGCATAATTTGATGTAAATGGCAATAATTCACCAGTGACCCCCAGGTTCTTGCAAACTGCTAATTATTTTAACAGGATTAATCTATATAAAAGTATAAACTTAAATATAGCGTTACATCTTTAGTACTTAGAAACAACTTCCTTGATGCTCCCCGAAGAGAGGGAGCATGTAATCTGTTCTGTTTGTCTGTCTGGTCACACCATTTGTGAAAATCAGTAAAAACTTTATATTACGCACAATTTTGATGGATCGTGTTCATGTTGCCCCTGAAAACAGGAGAAAGAATCACGAGAGTGATTTTGACTTGCTTCTCTCATGCAGTTGTTTATTGCAATGAAAATGAACATAAATATTTCACATCCTGTACTGCTCAATGTCACAGAGTGGAAGCAAAAGCTAAATAATAAACCAAAATACTAAAGTGGTTACTAAACATATATCGGAACATGTTTCCTCACCAAATGGATAATAATAGCAACATTTCTAGCTCCTGCCGTTAGCTCAATGGCTGTTATACAATACAAAACTGAGGCTCAAAACCGCCGTGACTATGTGCACAAAACAAACTGTAATATAATGCTTCTAAAGCTTACAAACAATGAAGAGTTACATCTTGATGCATGCTCAATCATCCAGGTAAGTAAATCTCCAAAAGTTGATTCTGTTCATCTGGGCATAAGGGAATCATCTCAGGTTTTTATAGCTTATAGAAAGATTTCAGCCAATTCAGCATGTTGTAATGAAGACATCAAACAACAGCAGTAAAGTTTTAGTATAACCCTTGCCATCCGTGGGGCGCTGCGCTCTCCGAGTCCTCCTGTTTGTTCAGTGTTTTTTGGAAAGAAATGTTAGCCAGGGCACCTGAAGTGCAGAAGCACTCAGAGAGCACAACTCCTGCTTAAGGGCGTGGCCTTGACCTAGACACAGTTTTTACAAAATTACATCAGCTTAAGCTGTCATTGCTGTCAACCATAATGACATGTCACACAAAATTTGAACATGAGATCTTGAAAACTGTGGATGCTAGGCTGAAAACAAACAGAAGAGAAACAAGTTTAACCAATCACAAACCCCCACCTTCAGGGGGTAGTTTACCAAACATAAAGAGTCCAGAAATGCATATCGCAAATAAGACTGATGTTCTGCTGCTGGTTAATGGTGTTGGCAATGGAGGATATATATGTTGCTCACCGTGTCCACTCCTTTATGACCAAGCGTGTCAACATGTTGTCCTTCCAGCAGGATAACACGACATGTCACAAAGTGAGTTCACGAGTTACTGAGTCTGTAATGCCCTCTGCAGTCACCGGCTCTCAGTCTAATAGAGAACCTTTTGAGATGTGGTGGGAAGGGAGACACGACAGTCAGCCTTGTTGATTTAGTCGCTCTGACAGCTCAGATCCTTTGTCAGGAGCTGAAAAGAAAAATCAAAAACCTTCAGTCTGGATTTCTTTTTATCTGTTTGTAAAATGCTCCGCAGCTCAATAAGTAAAAATGAAAACCTCTCAATTTTTCAGTTCAAGTGAGGCAGAGCAAGTGAGCTAGACTATAAATAAGAAAGAGAAACTGCATCAGCAAGAATTCATTAATAAAAAATAATTATCTTTTTCACTCTAAGGCACAAACAGACATGGTTCATGCATGCGAAGGTTAACCTGGCACCATGTTTTGCTGCAAATCATAAAAAAGTCACAAGTTGTTTTTTTACATAGTGACAGATACACTGTAAAATCTAATTAGTTCCCTTAAAAAAATTGTGCAAAGTCGTTGCCTCAAAAAAGTTTACTTAAGAAAATCAACTTATTCATTCAGAGTCTAGGTTTGGATATCTTTTTTCCGTTAATGAATAAAACAATTTAAAAACTGCAATTTTCTTTTACTCAGCTTATCTTGGTCTAATATTAAATGCTTGATTAAAACCAGAGTGTTTGATGCATCACAGTATTAAACAGATCTGTATGATAATAAAGGAATCTGAAGCAAATGTCTTGAAAAAGGATGGGAATAAATCCATTGGTAATATTATTAAGATCCTAGTTTTAAATCCAGAGTGCATGTCACAAAGTGAGACAAGGAAGGGGAACTTACAAGATGTTGGCCGTCTGTCTGAAATTTAAAAAACAAACAAACAAGAAAAACAAAACAAAAGGCAAATGAGTTTTTAACATTTCGAAGTGCCTGAAAATCTTGTGTTTTCCTCACATAAATTCAGAAAGAACCATGTCTAATGTAAAAAGTACAACAGAAATAATCTAACTGAGCATTTCCCATCTGCTACTGGTTGACTGGTGAACTCAGTTTCTTTGAATCTCTCACCTTTCCTCTTTTTCCAAACAGCAAATCCAGCAGCAGCAATGAGAATGAGAACAACAAAAACAACGACTGCAGCGATGGTGTTGAACAGCATGTCAGAGGACGTCTCTGCTCAGTAAAGAAAAACAAATGAAAATAAACATATAGGATAAAATGTGCAGTTAAAGTAGTTTAAAACAAAAGTATATCGATCCATCCGCTCTAATGACATAGATAACAATATCACACTGGGTCCTGCAGGAAAAAAATGACAACGGGTAGTGAGAGCAGCGGAGAGGATTGTGGGGACCTCTCTTGCCTCCCTCCCCAGGAGATCTACTGCGCCTGCCTCATCCAGAAGGTCCTCTCCATTACAGGTGACTCCACTCATCCCTTCAACAGCTTTCATTTCTGCATCGAGGAGAAACCGCGACGCAGACTGAGAGACAGCTTCGTCCATCAGCTGTCAGGATGCTGACCATCTCTGAATCGAGAAGGGGGGCCCAAGGGTACATCTTTCGCCATCTTACAATGCTGTGATTGCAGCCATTCCCCAACTCTCTGTGAATGGTACTCATGGCCATTCGAGAATCTGTGTCTTTGATTAGTAGTCGTTGATCAATGGTCATAAGAATTTGCATACTAACAATCATGGAACTAACCCCCCAGCCCATTGTTCATTCAGTGGTGCTAGTTTCCTTCGCTGTGCAAATGTACTGTTTATAAGGTTGGGGAAACCTGCAGTCAGCTGAGACTGAAGAAGTCACTTGGATGAGTGACGAAACGTTTCTCCCACTGAAAATGTCCAGATGAACAGAATCAACCTTTTGGAATTTACTTACCTGGATGATTGAGCACGCATCAAGACATTATTTTATTAATATTTTTAAAATGATAGCAGCACAAACGAAAATTTTTGCAGCACAAACCAGCACAAACGTTTGATACCACTTTTGTTGGATTTGAAGAAGGTGGGGGGGCCAACTTCACTCACATTTGCAACTGTTGTGATTTGATGCTAGAATCGAATTAAGTTAGAATATTATATTAACAAAAGAGAGAATTATTATATTTACCCAATACTTTAAAAAATAGAAAGATTTTTTTCCTCTGTTAGGATCTCCATTAGTTATTCCTACAGTAACAGTTATTCTTCTTTGTGTCCAAAAACTAACAAGGTAAAACAATCAGAAACATTATAGACAATCAATCCACAATACGGGCAAAAAAAAAATGTTTCTCTCACCTTCATCAGTGTTAAATATTTTTTTCCCCCAGTTTGTTCTGATACTAGTTTTATCGAGTTTGGTGACAAGGATGTCCTCACCACCAGAGAGCTGAAACACACAGTCGTACCTCCCCCAGTCTTCAGGTGTGACTGATGAAATATTCAGATCAACACTCATCTGAAAGGTCTCATCATTGTTTGGGAGGATCTCTCCAGGATCCACACCTTCATGGAGCTCCTCTCCATCTTTCCTCCAGAACATCAAGGGTCTGTTAGGATAGAAACCTGTAGCGTGGCAGCTGACTGGAGAGGAGGGAGTCTTCTGGAGGAGAGACACTGAGGGAAGAACTGGAAGAAGGAAAGGAATTCAACCAAAACCTAATATTCAAAACAGAGTCGTTAGAGCCAAACAATCATCATCTTAAGTCATGTCAAGTTTATTTGTGTAGCACTGTTCAGACAGAAGGTAATTCAGAGTTCTTTAGAGAGGGGAGGATAAATACAAGAGACATTTAAAACATCTAATGTATATGATCATATAACACATATAACTTTTCATCACCAGCTTCCAGCAGCTGCATAAGGCTACAATATGAGATCTTTTAGACTAAAAATAACCCGAAACACTCTGAGATATAGTAATGAAATTGTGAACACAAGAATACTTAATACTTAATGAAAAATCATGAGTTTCAATTCATGTCAATAATAGTCTTTCAACCACAAACATGATAAATATTATCTTAATCCATCCATCAATTTTAACAGCCAAATTCACCACCAGGTGGCGCTAAAAGAGAAGCTGCAAATTGGCTCACTGTTTGGAAACCACTGATGAACTACAGCATCACTGCATTAAGATCTTTCACTGAACAAGTTGACCTGCTGACTGTAAATTTTACTCACAAAAACATTAAATTATTGTATAAATGTTCTCAGTTAAAAGTAAAAAGGAGGTTATTAAATGGTACTGCTTAAACTTCCTGTTTCATTTTGACAATTGCTTTTCTTGAGACATTTCACTAATTTCCTCCTTATCTTGTTAGTCCTCTTGTCTGTTATTCAGAAATCAGTCGCAGTACATCATGCTGGAGGATGTCTCAGTTCCTAAAATGCATATGAACAAGAAAGGAGGCTGGAAGAGGAGCTATAATCAAAATGGCCATGGTGAGAGATGGCCTCTTCTTTTGTTGTTTCAATTATTTAAGATGATCAGACTTTCTGCCCTTCACTGACTCTGTGTGTGATTGAAGGCATGATATCTTGTCACATTGCAGAGAAGCCCTAAATATGTATATAAGATGTTTTTGATCCAAAACCTAAAACTGCAGTTACCAGGAAAACTTCATATCAGTTTTCATACCTTCTAAATCATTCAATTTTAAATCTACTTAAACGTTTTTGCCATTTTCTCTTTCAATGATAACTATTTTTCAAAAGATAATACAAAGTAAAACAAACACTACTGCATCAGGTCATGTGATTCTACCTGTTCTCTGCAGAGAGCTGTTGCCACTCTCCACGTACATCTTCAGCCACTCTGGACAAATCTTAGTGAGGATTTTTTCACGGTCTTTCATTCTGGTTGTGTCAGCATCCCAACTCTGTTTGATAATGTCAGCCTCTGGTTTCAGTGCGATCCACGTCAGCGTCTTCAGATCCAATTTAAGAAAGTCTTCTCCATCATATCCGTACTGTAAAAGCCCCGTAACCTCTCCGGTGTTTTCATCCCATTCACAGCCTTCTATCATCTGTAAAATATGGACAGCTGAGGCGAGAGAGAAAACAGAGATTATAGCGAACATCTGAAACTCAGAGGCTATAAACTGTAAGAAGCACAATAAAGACATAATGCAAGACATAAAACAGAGACATGATCTATAATTTTTAAAGTTAAAATCTTAACATGGTTAATACAAGACTAAAATTGAGAACAATTATTTTTATGAATTATTTTATTCTTTTTAGGGCACACTAGTGAGGTTTGATGATTACAAAATGTATTATTATACCTAATAAATAACTAATTATGCTAACAATCTTTTACATTAATCAGTTTTGTTTATGCATATACATGATTTATGATGATTTGGCAAAACAAATAACATAAAACACTGCACCTCTGCTTTGGTTTAACTGCTGCTTCAAACTAGAAATCCATAATCTGAATAGATTTGGCCGATCCACAAAACAATAATCAGTGAGCGACTCCAACATCTGAGGGTTGGTATCTAATATTTTCTTCGCCCAGTCCTGTCTTGCTTCCAGTATCTTGTTGCTGCTGTCACAGTAGTAAGCCATCTGAATGCCATCAATTACTGGGAAACCCACAAACTCAGAGATGTTTGGGTTTCCAGAGGAACCAGTGTCAAAACTAACCAATGAGTGTTTCACTGTGGGACAAAAATGTTTATAATGTTAGTAAACAAATAAATGAAATATATAAACATTAATCAGAAATATGATTAATTCGGTATGAATCAGACTCCACAGCAGGTGTGTGTGATCAATTATGACGCATGTACAATGATATATGTGTACTTTTGAGTACTTACAAATGTGTGTACCCAAACCTGAACAAATAATGAAAATTAATGTGCACATTTATGTTTAGCTTCACAAATCTGATCATTGACACTTTCAAAAACTTCCTTGTGCATAAAAAAGTCTATGAATATTTGTGGCATTCTTTTAGCTAACTTACAGAGCATTAAATGCCAGTGCACAGATCACCTGATTATATCACCTGATTTATTTGGGAGGGATAACAAATGTAAGCTGCGTTCAAGTGCTGGATTTCCTCCAGATTCCTGTGTTTTATATTTATTTTTAAAATAAAAGATTCATTCTATTTGTCTTGATGCATGCTCAAAAACCCAGGTCAGAAAATCCCAGAGTTGATTCTGTTCATCTGGACGTAGCATTCTCAGAGAAAAATGTTTCATCACTCATCCAAGTGACTTCTGCTGACTGCAGGTTTTCCCAACCTTAAAAGCAACATAAGAACCTTCGATCCTGACCTTTTACCATTCACAGAGTTTGGGAACGTCTGCAATCATTTATGTGTGATCATGACAGTCTGAAAAAATAATTGTGGCTTATTGTTAGGAAACAGTGCGAGTTTCGGTTGTTATGCAACTTTACTATTTATAAAGTTGGGGGAATCTGGAGTCAGCAGAGACTGAAGAAGTCACTCGAATGAGTGATGAAATATTTCTCCGACTGAAAACGCTACGTCCAGATGAACAGAATCAGCTGTTTTATTTGAAAAAACAAACAAACATAAAAAATACAGATAAGGCCAAATATTCCAGATGTCCACCACATTATCACACACATTTGTAAAACATTGTATGTGTTCAGATTCCTTTGTATGTGGACTGGAGCACACATTTATGAGCACTGAAAACTGCACCGAAATATTAATACTCATTTGTAAATCTTAGTTAACACTTGTGTATGACATCATATACATTTGTAACCCTGCTGAGACTAATTTAACACTTTACAAATAGGACAGTTTAAGGAGGAAATACTTCACAAAATGTCATTTCTCATTATACAACTTCGACCACTGCAAATTAACAGTACATTACACATACTATACAAAGAGCGTGTGTTACATTTCTTCAGAGCCCAACTGGTAAGCATAAGGAAAAGTAAACAAAATGACAACTCATAAAAGTTAGCCATATTCAAGCTGTAATAATAAAGTAAACTACTTTTAATATTTAACGTATGATCTTACCTGGACATACCACATTAGAGCAGAGGAGTAATAGATACACAGGTTTCATGTTGCTTTTGTGTTGCTGTGTTTATCGTGAGAGTCTGTTTTTTTGTGCCTTCAAACTGGGTAAAGCCAGCCCCCACAGGAAACTACCTGATTTCAAAATAAAAGCTACTTTCTGAGGGTTGTGATTTTGGCATTAAAGGTCTGTAGTAAGTTAGTCTGTAATAAATTATAACCTAATAAATAAATACATAACAATATACAGTGCCTTAAAAATGAATACATTTAAAATTACAAATAAAATAATATTAAAATAGCACATCTACCATCTCCAAACTAGTAACCACGTTTAAGAATAAGACTTGCACAGCCATTACAAGGAAATTATCAGAGCAGTCCATTCAGTTATACTGAAACTGGATCTAAGCAAAACCTGGACCAGATGAGCTGATGATAAACGCCTTCAACGAATGTCTCTTCAAACATATTAAGTAAAAGTAAAAATCTAAAAACAGAAACAGGTTTTAATTACAAGGGAATTTGTAATTTAAAGAGACGCAGTTTATAAAATACACTTGAATATGAAGTGTAAAAATAAACATCTATGCACTTTTCATAATGTTCCTATGAGATCATATATGACTGTGTTACTGTTAAAACTGAATTTTCATGTTTTAACTGTTTAAAGTGGAATTAAATGGAAATAACCTGTAACCTTCTGGATTGTTAAACTTCTGAGTGTTTTCGGATATATGCTTATGGTTCACTAAAATGAAGCTAACTGTTATTTTCATGTGGGATCTTTATAAACCTTTCCTAGATTATGTTATGTCACTGTGACAGTAATGTGAACTCAAGAGAGCCCAGGCAAAACTGGTTAAGAGAATTAAAGCCAGATGAGTGACAACACTGTATACATTAATAGACATTTTTTCCTACCTAATAAAGTGGCCACTCACTGGCCACTTTATTAGGTACACCTTGCTACTAGCGGGCTACATCTCTTTTTTCCTTCAGGACTGCCTTAATTCTTTGTAGTTTAGATTTAAGAAGATGCTGGAAATATTCCTGGAGTTTTTCACCATATTGACATGTGACAGCATCACACAAGTCCTGCAGTCACATTGACATGCATGATGCAAATCTCCCATCCCAACTTGATGGATGCTATTTGAATGCAGTGAACTGACTGTCATGTTCAAAATACCAGTTTGAGATGATTTCAGATTTAGTATCACCTTCTCCTGCTAGAAACATCCACACCAACAAGGTATCTTCACACAGAGAACTGTTGCTCACACTGTAGCTTCACTTTTTTTGCAACATTTTCTGTAAACTGTAGAACTGGCTTTGTGGGAAAATGCCAGTATATCTGAACAACCATGTCACATTTAGAGCCGTTTGATGTATCTTTCTTCCCAGTAGGCTGTTTTATCAGACTTTTTGTCAAAGTAAACTTTACAAAGTCTGTAACTTTGTAAAGTTACATAAATTTGACAAAATTAATGTAACTTTACAAAGTTACAGACTCAATTATATTTAGTCTGTTCATGCCAGCTTCTACATGTGTTATTAGATAATAACCTAAACTTTAACTCACAGTGACATGGTGTCATGCCCCCATTTGTCCTTGGACAGAACTCCGTGGACTAAACGCTGCATCGTCTCTGAAGATCTGCATGCTCAGCTGCTAGCCTGCCTGTTTCCTCCTTGCTCATTGCTACATATTTTCCTATGATTTCTATGGTTAATAAACTTGTGAAATTATCTTGCAGTGTCCAGTGTTTGGGTCTTATTCTCTGCTGCCTGTGATGAATATTTAAAGGCACTGAAGGAAAAAAAGCAACAAAAAAAAAAAGATGTGTAGATGAAGCAGTTTAGAACAAAATGACGTAATTGTTTATTGGTGGACTTTTCAGTCACTTATACATTGCACGGTTTTCCTCAAGTTTTTGCTTTTTTCCACTGACTTGATGGCGGCGTTGCACTCTACACCACACCTTCTTAAATATGTCCTCTCTATCTCTCCTTTAGAACATCATAGCTTTATTAGAATCAAACCTGCAACGTGGTATCTGATTTAACCACGAGGGGGAGCCAAAGCGTCATTCATCACTAATTTTCTTTCTTAAAGTCAAATAGGTTTACTTTAATATGAATAAACAAATAATATCAGAAATTGCAGTCACACTGAAAAAAGACCACATTTTGGATTTACTTAATTCAATATTAGACATTGGTTGCACACAGATGTTTTTCTTTGGCAGTAACTTAAACAATTGAGTTAAATCAACGCAAGTTATTCAAACATGAGTCAATTTTGTCAGTTACACCCAAGATAATTACATAAATTCAAGAGATGGCCAGTAGAAGACATGAAATTAGGCTATACTTTACAAGTAGTAAAGTAAATTAGTGTGAGATTCAGGATCCATCTGATCTGCTGAGCTGTCGTCATAAAGAGCCAGTGTAAATATAATCATCTAATTATAATCCTAATCTATAATCATAAACAGGCTTTTATTTGTTTGATTAGGCATTAATAAAACTGAATAAAGGTGTCATCTGAGGGAAAATACACAAAAGGGACCAAAACGCAAATGTAGTTTTGGACCACATGAGTTCAGTTTTTCCCCCAAAATTTTCTCAACATTAGCTCTTTTTTCTTTCAGTCACTTAGTGTCCATAACCCACCCCTTTTGGGTATCGTGAATGTTTCAGTGATTAATACTGTTTGGTTTTACCTAAATGTAATTGTCTTTGTCACAAACAACAACAAAAAAGTTTCTTTTAACTTTTAGAATTTTAAAATTATTATTTTATATTTTCCCCTGTGTAGTCCAGTTAGTTTTGCCTTAGTTTCCTCCTGCCTTTTGTTTTGTATCGCTCTCCAGCCTATATAAACAGCTCACTCTTGGTTTAAGTCAAGTTTTGGTTTCCACACGTCTGCTTTTAGGTCCAATCATCAACCTCCACATAGCTCACCTTTTGTACAGATATATGCCACAGTTCCAGCAGTAGTTAAGGTAAGGAAACCAATCACAGCAGCAATGATGCAGATAATCAAAATAGCTGGTTTCTCAGCCAAACAAAGAAAAACAATTATTAAGAACAGGGACTATTTCCAGATATCCAAGCTGACTTTGGGTGAAAGGTGAAGTACACCCCGGACAGGTACACTATATTGTCAAAGGCTCAGTGAATTCCGCATGGTATTGTGATAGGATACCACCTGTGCAACAAGTCTAGTTATGAAATTTCCTCATTACTTCATTTTCAACAGTCAGCTGTTAGAGGTATTATAATGATATGGAAGTAATTGGGTATGACACCAACTCAACCATGTTCATAGAGCAAGGTCAGCAAAAGCTGAGATGCCTAGTGTACAGAGTGCAGACTGTCTGCAGAGCCAATTGCTACACACTTCCAAACTTTATGTGGCCTTCAGATCTGCTCGAGAACAGTGCTGTCAGGGACTAAGCAGTAAAGCATAGAGGACACAGTGGTTTAATTCAAAAGTGGGGTTTTATTTACCCCAAAACATGAAAAACATTTAACAAATCCAGAAACTTAAACAGACAGACTAATAAAAGAGGTAAAAGCAATAAACTTAACTCAAAATAACCACTAGTAAAACCTCAAACAAACATAAGACAAGATGAACTGACACATGAGGGAACCTATATACTGGCTTAGCTAAACCATAGGACACACAAGGGGAAGACAAAATGGCTGCCATATAATCAACTAACACAAAACAATTCAACAAACACCCCCCAGGCAACAAGGCTTGTGGTTCAATCCAATGAGGTCGTCAGCAGTACTTCAGGTCTCTCAGCCCTGAGCCACACCTGTTACCAACCAGGAAGGAGAAGCCAAACCATCAGTTCAAGAAAAGTTTATTAATACAACATAAATCTGAATTTTGACCTTGCAGTGTTGATATGTGTGCAAACATTGTGTGATGGAAAAAATAAACTAATCTAATAATGAAACAATATCTTGGGCAATGAGTACAATATATATAAAGTAGTGGCTGCAAAGTAAACTAAAGTGAAGCAAACTTGGGGTGAGGTTTGGATCTTACCTGAGAGCCTGAGAATTAAGAATTGGATATCACTTCACTTAAGTTCATATGAGTGTGAAAGCACAACGGGAACACTTTTCGCAATATCGTTTAGGTCCATCACAGAGAAACAATCACATTCACACCTACAGCCTATTTAGAACTGACAAAATTCTACAAAAAATAAAATAAAATAAAAAATCAAGAGGTCCTCAGTTTGACTCTTAATTTTTGCTGCATGTTAGTTTCCTGTTTTTTCCTGCCAGTCTCAGTCCATCTGTACTGAAACTATCCAATGAAGGCTAATTGTCACACATTTTCTTTTAAAATCTTTTGATTTATTGGTTTATTATTATTAACTTTCTGAAACAATATATTAACTGGATTGTGGGATAGAAGATAAAATCTTCAAGAAATCACATAAAATCTTTTTTCACTTTCAGAATTTACATTTTTCCAATTTGTTCTGATTGCTGCCTTCTCCAATTTGGTGATGATCCTTTACATCAAAAAGCTGAAACACACAGTCATATCTCCACCACTCTTGGGACATGATTGATGAAATCTTGAGGAGAACACTCAATTGATAGGTTCCATCAAGATTAGGGAGGATCTCTTTGTGCTCGTATCTGTACCTGTACCTTGTATCTGTACCTGAGCTGTGGTAACGCACAATTTTCCCTGCCGTAGGATCAATGAAGTCTTATATTATATTTCTCACCTGTAAGTGAGCAGCATTTTAGGAGACAAGTTATTTAACTACACTTCACAGAGATCTTTTTTTGGTAACTATATTGTGGCAAACTTAAGCAAAGTAGGAGAAAGAGATCTCTATTTTAACCTGCAGCTCCTGTGTTTCACAGACTGCTCAACTACAGGAATGCTGCTTTTATTAGGAGCACCACATAACAGTGGAGAGAGGTGATTAGCGGGTACAGCAGTCTCAGTCATGGTGTCCTTGCTGGCCACAATCAATACAGAACACACAGCTGCAATAATGTTATACGTTAACAATATCAACACAAGATAACTGCAGTAGCTGTTATAATGCTGTAACTCAATAGGTGAATGTCAGGT